GAGAGAGAAGTTATCAGAACGTAACGCGTAGAATAGAAGGGAATATCGGAAAAAATCCAAGTTGGAAAACGCGGTACTGACAGTCGCGAGATTCGTCGTGTCCATTTTATTCCCTGGGATCCATTCTCCCGTTTCGCTCTTTTGATCCTCACTGTTCGCCGCAACAACACTCAAAAAGTTGAGAAGTGCCCAGAGAGTTTCGCGATTGGGCGTGGGTAAAAGTTGGATGAGATGCTGCAAAGCTTCCTGTTGTAGTCGTCTGTTCCTAATTTCTGGAAAATATTTAAATAGCTCACTTATCATTCTTTCATTCCGTGAAAAAGGTGAAATATTGAATATTCATAACTAAAATCGTAAAATAAAAAGATTGCATAAAATGATGATTGATATTGATCTTAGCATGCAAGCGGCTTTCGAATCAGTAATGCACACCTGTCTTTACGGGGGAAATGCTAGGAAAGAAAAGATAACACTCGCGAACCATTTATGTCAGATTGAAACCTGATTCTTGCTTACTTTGAGTATGTATGAAGGCCTGATATAGATCTCTGCAAAGCAGAGGATCCGGCAGATCACGGAAATATTCTTTCAAGAGGGTAGCTACGTCATGGGGACATTGATCGGGACCTATCTTGGTCTCCCGACCGCAATCAAAGTCTTCTCTTAACTGGAATAATCATGGAAATGTCACGCTTAAGATTTGTGTAAAAAATATATTCCTCCAGAAGAAATCTTTTATCTTCTAGGAGAATGTAATATAATCATTTACTTTAAACAAAGATAGATGTACTAACTTTTACACTCTCAAAGCATTCGATTTTCCATTTGATAAATATTTAATTCCTACTACATTATAATGGACAGCATTACGAAGGTATTAAGAGAAAATCCGAATACCGCGTGTCGATTACGGACTAAAGAGAATATATTTGAGAGAATTGTCAATTTCAAATTTAAGCTCACATTAATCCGAAAACAGTGATTGAGTTGTTAATCGTACATAGCCATATTAGCCATAAGCCTTTGCTAAGTTTTGGAAAATTTTGGATTTTTGTGTTCCGTTCATATATATGTGTGTTTTGTATTTTAAATTATACTTAAATTATTGTAATAAATTTTAAAATTATTATTAATAATACAATTATATAAAAAAAATATAAAAAACTTGAACCGTTTTGTAAAACTTTTTGCTAATTTAAAGAAATTGCGTCAAACAATCATTCTTATTGATATTTCTTCAAAAGAATTTACCTCGAATATCGAGATAAATTCCAAGAAGCTTTTGTCATTATTAAAGGAAAACATTATACCTGCCTCACCCTCTTTTTCGAGGGTGATACGCGAAACACGCCTAGCGTGTGGAGACCAGTAGCCTCGAGGTGCTTAATGCATTGCCTGACGATGTCCGGCACCGCGTCCCATTCACCGGCAAGACACCCTCCACCACTGTCATTCAATTCGAGCACTCCGGAATCGCTTCCTGTGAGAACACCCCCTTTCGACGACAGAGACTCGCAGGAACCTCCCTAATTCGATAAAAGAGAACGCCATTTGTATAAGAAAAATAAATGAAAATAAAAGATATATAAGAGGGAGAGAAAATATAAATATATTGTTTTGCCTCATTTGATGACGCGTAATTTATAATATATACAATTTATAATATATATAATCGATTTTCGTATACAAACAATTTTTGTAAATGATATTATAAGTGAAAAAAGGCTAAGTGAAAAGTTCTACATTCAACTGTTTTAACAGAAGGATGGGTATTATATTGTTTAGAAATGAAAATAAGGTTCCTTGCAAAATTAAAAGTTCCTAATTAACCACTGTTAAAATTAGCAATCGCGTCCCCCTTCTATTTGTGTCTTTGATGTCTATGATGTCACCTCGGACGCAGGAGAGACACACGTGACGTCGGCACGAGAATTGTACGTCGTTATTCTCGTATTGCATGTAGACGATCGATTAATCATATTAGGCGTGGTCTGCGTAAGAAAGTCAAGAAAAATGTTGATACAGATAGATCAATTAAATGTTCCATGATTTTTTTTCGAATTAAAATATGACTTATTTTGAAATTGTGAGATAATTTTTGAAAAATTTGCCGTATTTCTTCTATATTTTCAGACTACGAAAAACGAAACAAAACTCTTTTGGATTTAGCTTATCCATTAAAAATACATTTTGCCACATCACATTTTCTATTAAAGTCGCTTTTATTTAATTTAACGATCGGATGATTAATACTACATTATACGACATATTAAATTATATACGTTATTTAAAAATTTTTGTAAATGTGTAATTTCTCGTATAATAAGAATTAATTATAAGAGCTTTGCACGTTGCTGATCTGATCATAGAACTGATCATAGAATAATCCCTTTTTCTTCTCCCTTTAAATTAATCGTTTAATATCTTTTAATATCAATTAAACCGAAAGTAAACTGTAACGCCTGTGCGTGAGGGCGGTAAAGATATTATAAAATATATCGTGCTATTTCTGCCGATGAAGCATAGATATTTCGGGTCCCGCGAACAGCTGATTTAGCTCTTGATTGTAAAAAATTTCAAGTGCAAGCGACACATCAATTTCTGGTTACGTCGGCACGCTGGTTTATTACCGCGATCAATTGCTTCAATCTATTTGATATAAAATAATATTTTATTTCTCTTTATACTTTTAATCCTTTTTCTCTCGCTCTCTTTCTTCTTGTTTTTCTAAAAATTTCTAAAAATTTTTATTGTTTTGGCTTTTTTATTTGTATTTTCTTATTGTCTTCTTATTATCTTCACTTTTTAATTAATGCTTATTCTCTTATTTTCTTTTCCTTTTTCTTTAATATTTTCGTAGTAACGCCGTTTTTTATAAAATTCTATTATAAACAAATTTTCCATAATAAATAATAAGCTTTTCTTTGTTAATTAGTTAAAGTTATAATATCAATTACTATTACTATGAATGAAGGTTACTATGAATAATTTTGAGATGTTTGACAAACATCTCAAACAAAGTATGTAAATAAGGCAAACTAATTTCTCCCGATCGGGATAATAACATTCATCAGTTTCTACTATCGCAAAAGTAGGGCATGCATGTTGATATTGATATACGTTTACAACTCTTGTATGATTTTATTCCAAATCTATCGCGAAAAGTGATTGTATTATGTGAGCAGAAAATTTGTTTCTGTTGTCACAACCAGCTTTCGTCTTTTTCCGACAGATTCGATTTATTTCGAAATAGAAAGAAGAAGAAAAGAATATTATTATTCTATTGGATCTAATCTAAGTTTACACATTATTATGGATTTATTGGATTTACTGTTTTATAAAGTTCACAATATTTGATCTGGATTTTGCAGTAATGACAAAACGACAAATTAATTAAATAACGGCAAAATATATCTAAGAAATATAATTCTGTAACTTTTGCTATCAGATATTTAAATGATATATTTGATGATATTTAATGATGTAACAACTGCTACAATTGATAAAAAATAAAAAAAGAGATTTGCTATTTCAAAAATAAAACTTGACTTTTTCGAAATTTTTTTCTATAATAAATTAAGATACCTTGCATATCTTGAATTATAAATATCGCTAAAAGAAAAGCTTTCCAGAAAGATATTATGAAGCAGTTTTTTTTATTTTCGATTATATAACGCGACGCGTTATCGTAGGTTACGGTTAAGTCATAAATTCTATCCTTCTTCATTTATACGCGATGTAAAATATTGAAAATAGTATCGCAGCTTGTAAATCGAGATGCGCATCGACTAACGGTTTTCTCAAAATAACGATGAACATCTGTTCTCGAGTAAAGTGTAAAAAATTATTTTCTACTCAAGTAGCGGTATTTCTGATATCAAAATATTCATTTTTAACTGAGAAAAATTTGTCACATGCAGAAAAATGAAGATTAAAATATTGAAGTAAAGTCTAATTTTTAAAAAAAGATAAAAAAAGGATGTCTCAAGTATAGTATAGGATATTGCCAACTCAAATGATTGTGAAAAATTTATATAAAAGATTTGATATCAATAATTGGCGCCAAGTTATAGTCTTACAAACATGAAGCTACAAGTCCATTTTAGTCAAATTATATATTTCAATCGTATAAAAGATTTGATAAACCACTGTTTTAAAAAAATAAAACTCAAGTAGTAGTTTCTTTAATTTAAAAATAATAAAAACCAAATTATATGTATATCTTTCTATCCATTAAAAACTTCTTTTTCTAACCCAAGTGATAGTAATTATTTAGCTTTAAAATATTTTTATATCACAAAATTGCTTTACTCAATTTACGTTTTTATTACAAAGAATTATAAAGTAACAGTATAAAATAAATGATAAAA